GGATGCACCGGCGGATCATCGGTATCAGCCGATATTCGCCTTGTTGGTTGACATTGGCCTATCTGCGAATGAGATGGCATTCACCGACTGCAGTGGTCGATGTATATCTGTTGCGTCACGTCACGTTTGCTCTGGTTAAATGTTGTGTCGAATATGTCCAACTCTGATATTGGAGAATCACCTGCACGCAAATACCTGCGTATATGCTGACTGTGAGCGGCTCTGCATCTGACATCTTGGATGAGAATAAATAGCTTCAACATGGCAGAGATGCTTATCATTGTAGATTTATTTGATTCCTGGCACGAAAAGCAAATAAATAACAACAAAAAAATCATTGGTATTGACATCAGCTGTCAGCCAAATTGTTATTTTAAACATCTATATTGGTATCAGCCCAGAATCCCCTACTTTATATTCTGTGGTTGTATACTTTGTGTCCTTTTCTTGTCTTCTATCTTCCCTCTGCTAAAGCACTTTATGACTACAGTTTTGCAAAGTGCTTTAGAAATGTAGTTGTCACACATCAGTGTGTTTAGCCACATTTTGCCAAAACTACTGCAGAAATGGTTGGCAAAGTTTGTATGTTGCATTTATGCCAACTGAGTTTAAGCTGACAGCTTCTGAAGGAGCAAACAAACTTTTTACAACCAACTCTCCAGCTAACGGGATAAATGTTTGATACCCAAAAACAGATGCTGCTCATGGAGCTTGAACATGTCACAGTATTAGCTAAATGCAAATAGAAGGGTGTGAGATTTAAATACAGGCAGCGATAGTGTACATTTTGCATTTGATGCTGATTATGACGTCATGTCTTCTGAGCCGCTTCTTCACCTGCCGAGCTTCCTCACTTCATCTGACTGCTTTACATTTACACTCTCTGCTCCCTGGGTCACAGTGTAAGTCACTGCTGTTATTGTGGCTTCAGGGGCTCAGAGAGGAGAAAGCAGTCGGCTGGAGGCCGCCGTCTTCAGGCTCGCTGTTGTGCAGAGTGAAATATCACAGCGGCTGGCGGTGTTAGGGCCACATATGAGTCCAGACATCCTGCCAGCGCGCAGTGTGTGGACAGCAGTCTGCCATTTTATGCCACATGCTGAGCGGCAAGCACAGTGTGTCTGTGCACTCAAGCACGTGCACACCCACACATTTGCAGTGCTACCAGGAGGCTTTCTTTTGAATTTACTTACAGTCCATTTAAAGAAACTTAAAGCTACAGTAATCAGCGTTTTATATTGCTTTTTGGCCAAATGTTTTCTTAGAACTTGCTCATCTCCATCTATCTGACTGTCTTACTCAGTGGTACACCTGATGTAAAATAAAGTGTAGAAACCAGCACAAGAAATGCTCAAATTGCCTTCAAAAGTTTTTTTGAATTTGCTGCCACACAGTGCCCAGCCATGACTGAGCAGACACATGGCATTGTTTTCCAACAGTTGCCCGGGCTGCCATTTTTTAATTTAGCCACTAAGGAGAGCCTTTTCAAAAAGGCTCAATTTTTGCGTTTGAGTACCACTGGCCATTGTGGAGGGAAAAAGGCAAATTTAATTGTATTTGGCTTCAGTGTGTGTCCTCTCCAGTCTTGGCCTCACAGTGAGCTTTCTGTCACACTCCTGCTGTGCCTTCCAGCTGTGCCAACGATAGCCTGCCTTTCGCTCACACACAGCAGAGCACTGCACATCCAGACACCTGCTGAGCCAAAGCACACATCGGTGGGAGGTGAACTTCATGCCATGTTGGGTTTAAGGGCGTTTGAATATTGTTAACCCAAACCACCGTGCTACCTGAGAGTCCTTTTACAGACTGTAGACACTGAGTTCTTGTTGTACATTCAAATATTTATTTTCTGAATTAAATATGTTTGTGGTCACATATACCTACCCTGAGTTACAAGGTTAAGTAACACAGTCCACTACAACAGCCTTGCAATAACTTCAAATGTTATGTTGGACAATATATTGTTCAGTGTTTATTATGCATTGTTGACCTGCCACTTAAACCTTTAGAATTATAAATAGTCAACTCTGGCTTCATTACAGCTCGCTGTTTGAAAGCACCTTAAACCTCAAACGTGAACAAAGAGTTGAGTCAGAACCTCTCTGACAGCGTCAACAAGCTGCTTCATAAAGGTCGGATTCATTGCTATACTGTTGTATTTTATTGCACGTGCACCTACTAAACTGGTAATAGTGCAGTTTAAAGTCTAGTCATTTTTGGCATATTTTCATGAATGTTATGCATTGATTCCTTCAGTGGCTCAACAGAACTTTTTTATGTTATTCATTTATAAGTTGTTTGCTGTACATGTCATTGTGGATTTGTGGCGGTTTAAGCTCTTAAATCTGGTACAAAACATGTGGCATCACAAGCAAAGGATCAGGGAAGTCCTTTTTTACAATTTGTAAGACTGCACATGAATGCACCATTCCAAAAAAAAGTTCATGCTTCTGAAAGTGAAGACATTTTTTCACTTTTTCAGGGGGGTAGAAGCAAGTTGTATATTTGCACCATATATTCGATAGGAACACTGTTAATGTAACACCTTTATTCTTCTCACTGTGCTCACTGTTTTTCACAGCTGGATTCTCTGTTTTTATTCTTGTGGATCAGGATGTTTGTAGATGCAGAAGTGATTCTCGTCACAGAATATGTTTACTTCTTTTGCTATATATCTTTTATATGGAATCACAATATAGAATAACACATTTATGAAGATGAAGTGATGACATTTTCAAGATATATGAGTATAGTGGTTGAGTATATGAGGTATGTGTGGCTGAGATTGCCATTAAACGGTCTTTATCTCCCTGTCTCTGTCTCTGTCTCTCTTTCTCTCGCTCTCCTAACACACACACACACACACACACACACACACACACACACACACACACACCTGCACCAAACATATGGAGGTGTGAGTCTGCATATCTGTAGGGAAGACTGAAGGTGTCAAAAACCATGGAGCACATTATTATCACCTCTTCTATCACTACATAGGATCTGAAAGACATTCGGTCTGGAACACACACACACACGCACGCACACACACACACACACACACACACACACACACACACACACACACACACACACACACACACACACACACACACACACACACACACACAGTCTGCTAAGAAACACTTCTGCATAGTTTAGGAGCTTCTGAAGCTCCCATCAGGAAAGGATGAATGAAACAGGCCGGAACAGCGGGGAATTGGCTCAGTGATTTAAACGCTTTCCGGATAAAAAGAGAGAAAATAAAATAAATAAATGGGTCACTTCAGTCAGTGCCGATAACCAGTTTCTCATTCCCTCTCAGAAAAAGCCTATCAGTTTCAGTGGGATAGTCAGAGCGAGGTTATTCTGTGAGCAGCTGAGAGAGGAGAGGTTTCCCAGTGTGCAAAGTGGAGCTGGAGACAGAACTGAGCGAATTCAGAGTACTTTACTTTTTAAATCAACAGCTCTGGTGACAAACAAAATGTGAATGAAGTGAGCTGCATAATTTTTGCAGGAGGAGGAGGAGGAAGAGCGGGAGACTACATGGGAAAAAAGGGAGGATCAAGCCCTGCCAGTCATCCAGCACTCCTGGGATGGAGGGGGGGGGGTCATTTCTAAGTGACAGTCACTTGTCAAAGCTGAGGATCATGCAGCCACAGCACTCTCTGTCCCAGCGTCCCGCGGGGGGGTGGGTGGGGGAGGGGGAGGGGGAGGTGTTGGTGGGTGGGGTGTTAACGTCAGAAAACATGTGACCCGAGCTTTGAATGACAACATCGATTTCCCATCGCGTGGATGTAGATGTTGAAGTGGTGAATGCAGAGTTTAGTGGAGCACCCAAAGACAAGGTGGGGATCTCTCTTTTCCTTTGTTTTTTCGTGAACTGAGTATTCATGGATCCTGCAGAGCGGCGTTTCCCAGTCTGAGTTGTGTCTTGGATCTGAGCTGTTTTAATGCACAGTTCAGTCTCTTTTGTTTTATTTTAGGGCTGCTGGCCTACATTGCATTCATGTCTGCTGTGCAGTTATGTTTGGAATTTGTGTCGTTTATCTCACTGCTTTTATTCTTTTCTTTGTTGTGTAAAATTACATTTTTTATGTCTAGATTTTGAACTGCAACTTTAGTTTAGTAGTTTGAGCTTTAATGTGTTGATGTCAATGCATCAATTTTTCTTATGTACAGTTCTTTTTGGAAACCGCTATTTATTTCTTTATCGGTACATTTGAGGTGTTTTTTATTACTTATTTTAAAAGGACAATTCAATTCAACACATTAACTCATATTTGCACGATATTTATTCATTTTTATTATTTAATAATGGCAGAGAAAGCAATTTTATTATTATTATTTAATGTTAATTACATTTCTTATTTTTCATTTAATTTATTTTACAGGGACAAAGCACATATTGCATCAGATTTCTTTTAATTTATGTTATCTAATTATTTATATGACAAGGATATATGTCTAGTGTAATTTATTTTCAGCTTTCTTTATTGTTTATTCAAAAGGTGCAATTGCAGTAGATATATCTTAAAACTAATTTACCTCTGTGGTCCCCAGGCGGGCACCACCAGTATTTGTTTCCTTTCTTACCCATAACAATTATATTTAATATAGAGGAAATGTGCGTTATTGCTTGAAAATATGACATTGAATAATTATCCGCAGGCTGTTCAACACACACACACACACACACACACATATTCACACACTGTATACAAGCTCTTGGCGTGATGCGTGTAATCTGCGACTCTCTCCTGACAGAGAAACACTAATTATGTAATTGACTCAACATCTAATTCAATCTGCGAAAGGAGGACACGGTTTGTTTTACAGTATCAGGATACATCTGCTATTCAAGCCTCAAGTCTCTGTTGCTCTGTGTGTGTCTCGTCTGACAGAGCGAGCATCTCCACCATGGTAGTCTGTTGTTATGTTCAGAAAAAGCAGCTCATTGATTGATATGCTTTTTTTTCCTCTTTCTCTCTCTTTACTTATAGCTCAAGGCCACATCTGTCTGGCTCTGTGGAAACTCCAGACAGATTGCTGTACTGAGTGGAGACTGTGAAGAGGAAGCCGGGCACTTTGGGATCTGAGCCAATGACCTGTAGGAGGAGAGAGGGAGTGCAGCAGCTTGATTAAAATGGGGTAAGTTTAGAAGCTCAGACAGTGCGCTGCCAGCAGCTGCAGGAACTGCTGGCTGCAACAGGAGGATTTGTTTCCAAACCTGATCTCTGCAACATGATGCCCGCTGTTGTGTAACCTCTGCCCAGGCAGAGGAGGGGAGATGTGCCGATAGCAAAACAGACTCTGACTCACACATAACACAGTGATGATGTACACATAGACAGAATTATACAGTAACTGTAGAGCCTTGAGGCACAATGATCTGCAACTATCTATAGAACTAGAAACATTTGTTTCTTGTCATAATGAGACGCTTTAATGGTTGTAATCTGGGGAAGCTTCTCTGGAAAACAGCCAATCCTGTGCGTTTCAACATTTTTATTTATTCTTTGATTTGCCTTAAAAGATCCGATGCAGTGAAAAAATGATGTATCATAATCTTATATTCAGCATTCAAAACATATTTTATTCTGACAGATTTGCAGCTGTTCCAAGTTCAGGTTTGTTTAAGAAAAATACAAAAAAGAGCCTCATTATCTTGAAACACTTGATTCCCAATATATCTTTACATTGATTTGTACAACGAGGATGTGTGATAATTTCATACATAGCCAAAAGTATGTGGACACACATACACACATAAACCATGAACATTGCTTTCTAAAACCATGAACATCTGCTGCCATAGCAGCCTCCACTCTTCTGGTTTCAGGCTTTCCACCAGATGTTGAACCTAGCTGCAGGGATTTGCTCACATTTAGCCTTAAGAACATTAGTGGGGTCCAATAATAATGTTGAGTGGGAAAATCTGGCTCACAGTTTGTGTTCCACTGCATCCCAAAGGTGCTGGATGGGCTTGAGGTCAGCTCTGTGCAGACCAGTCAAGTTCTTCCACACCAGACTGGGGAACCCATTTCTTTGTGGAACTGGCTTTTAGCACAGGGGGCATTGTCATGTTGAAACAGGAAGTGGACAAACAGAATCTGTTACCACAAAGAAGAAATTATCTAGAATATCATTGTATGCTGTAGCATTAAGGTTCACCTTAACTGGAACTTAAGGGCCTAGCTGAAACCATGAAAAACAGTCCAGACCAAGAATACACTTTTGGCGACATAATTTAAAATTTAAGGAGTCAATAGTACACAAACTGACTTGTTAAGATGGAGGTTTGTAAGTGTATTTAATAATGCAGACACCCTGACAGTGAATCCGATCACATAAATGATTTATATCCTCATTTTGATGCTGTCCTCCTCGTGCACTCTGCCATCATATCTGGAGGAACCAGCTCCTATGCATGCTGGGACATGATGGCTGATTTACTGTCCTGCTGGTAGGGATGAGTTATTCCTCAGTTAGCTCCAGTGACAGAGGGAGCAGAGAGAGTGCGGACCTCCAGAGAGCCTTTATTCTGGCAGTAATTCAACCAGAGAAAGGCAGAGAGAGAGAGAGAGAGAGGCACAGGCATGCTGAGCAGCATGCTGCCTGCTATTGAGACACACACGCTCATGCTAATTAAACCCAAATTCCACATATCAGCACTTTTTCTCCAATCAAAACTGTGTACTCTCTCTCTCTCTCACACACACACACACACACACACACACACACACACACACACACACACACACACACACACACATTTGTGTCTGCCAAACAGGATAATAGGAAACAATGTAAAAGAATGCCAGGGCCAAGTACTCAGTATGATTCACATGCAACCGAGGGAACATAATGGTGTTTTTTCTAAAAACAACTGATAGAAAGAAAAAACATTCTTCGGGCACTGTCAGGCAGAGCAAGGAGAAAACTCATATTAAAATCCATTATTTAGTGTGGCATAATAGTGGTTATATACTGATGGCTTTTGACATCGCAGGGTCTTCAGCAGCACAGATCCCAATGGATGGGCGATAAGTTGATATATTCCATGAGACGATAAAAATTTGTTCACCATCAGATATTTTTTCCTCACCTTTTGTACCACGTTTGTCATTCTTTTAATGGTTTGATCAATTCAATTTTGTACAAACCTTCATGGTCACCAGAAGGTGAACCCTACTGACTTCGATGATCATCTGATTTTCCAATGTAGCGCCACCAGCAGGTTGACATTTGTGGTTTTTATTAAAATGTCTCAACAACTATAGACCTTTTTCACAGCAGCCATTTTGACAGGAAATAGTAGGGTAAACACAGGCATGATACAATGATACTAACTAAGGTTCTGTTCCATTCAGGTCAAACTGAGTCAGGGTGCTGCTATTGTGCATGTTGGCTCACTGGAAAGGCTCTGCTACACTAAATGGAGCAGAACCTATAAAGAAAATTAATATAATGACGATCACAAAATAATAGCCATACAAATCTTATTATGTAGTATAATGCAAACCAATCAATAGGTCTAATTAAAAGACCAAAACCAGCAAAGCATCAGTCTGTCAAGATGGTGTATGGGGGATTGAGTCAAAATAAACTACAGTGAGTGTGTTCATGGTAATGAAGGAACACGTAACCCAGTGTAACAGTGTGGCTCATTGAACAATGGAGCTCTATGGCACTTGTGAGTAATACTTGTTTGTAGGATGAATTCATTGTTGGTTTTGGTCTTTTCATGCACTTTTTTGACAGTGAGAGAAATATAAAATATCTCCAACCTTGTCCTTGAAGAAAGTTGTTAATAAAATGAGAGAAACTGTGTTTCTATGAATGAATTTCCATTGACGTCACTGAGCTCCAGCCGTCAGTGTTGAAAGGATTCACTCAAGATCCACAGATTAATGCCTTTGGTTTTTGTTTCAGAGCATCGTTTAATGAACAGCCAACAAATAAGATTTGAGAGAAAGCGCTTGTGCTTGCTATGTTTGAGGTTGCTGATTAACTCTGACCACAGCCTTGCTTACCTCAATGCAAGTGAGGAATGGAGATTTATCTATTACTGCAAAGCTGCAGAGAAGCGCGACGGCCTGTTCGTGCTTTGGCATTAGGGAGCGTTTGAGTCTAAAGATGATTTGGGTTTTATTATTCACCTAATGCATCGGAGATGAGCCCTCTGAGTCCCTGTTTCATAATCGTAGTCATAATCACATCCCTAACCCTGCGCTGCTGACTGTGGTGTAGACAGAATATGAGATACGGATGATGGCTGTTTGGGTTGGGCGGTCGACATGCAGTTTGTACTCATTACAGAGAGAGAGAAAGAGCTGCAGTACACCCAGTACCGTCTTGCCAGCTCTCTCCGCTTCTGGCTAATCTACAACTGCTGTCTGATTAGTCAGAAGGAAAGAGTAGAGCCGGCCGCCAGCGGACAGCCGAGCAGTTATCTTCATTACTGTCCCCTCAGCTTCCAGCTTTCTCTTAGCGTCATACTCATTTCCTCTCATCCTTCATCTCATCTTTGCCTCTTTTACCAGAGCTGTCTCATTTTTCTTCCTCCTGCACTGTCTGTCTCTCTGTATCTGTCTCTCAATCTCATGTTTTAATAGCCTGACAAGCATGCAGGGCAATAATCCCTCTATTATTATTCTTGCTGCAGAGAAAGAAAAAAGAAAAAGCCGGAGGGGGTAGACAGAGAACCATTTATATAAAATTAATGTGATTATTCTGGTGAAGGAACCACGCTTCAGAGACAGTGTCTCCGTGTCCAGAGTTGCGGTTATCCAATATTCTAATATATTGTGTGATTGTCCCCGTGGCTGAAGACCTCAAACAAATCTGTTTCATGGGCAGAGCCTGTATAAAGTCTGAACTGTGGATACATTGATAGTAGTAGATCTGTGCCGTATTATCAGGCTAAGATCATTAAAGAGTCTAGTCTGATAACAGAAGGGCAACAATACCACATTGTTGAAATTAATATCACAATATTACCAAGAATATTGTTTTTTCCAATCTTTATCTATGTCAGAGTATGGTAATGTACACAAAATTAAATATAAAATAATCAAATTTATGTTTAAAGGCCCAGTGTGTAACATTTAAAACAATCTATAATTTCATCAGTGTATATTCACATGGAAATGAGAATCGTTATGTTTTTATAACCTGAGAATGAGCCATTTATATCTCCAGAGGGTCGGGTTGCATTTTGTGGAGTCTGCCATGTTTGTCACAGACAAACCAAAAACTGGTTCTAGATAGGGAATTAGAGAACAGGGATCTGAACATTTCCAAAGATACCAAACATACATATCTGAATCTTTATCTGCATATTGTACATAAAACAAATCTGATCTAATGATTCAGCCATTCAAACCTGGCATCTTAGGAGCTTAAATTAAGTGTTTCAAGTCATCAGTCATTTTTACACTTAAACTGTGTCAACATGCCACAGTAATATAATATTGACTACAATTAATGCAGACGTCACGTTCACTGGTGACAAATTTCACAGCTCAACCCTTGCAACAGCCTGCTATTGATTTTCATAATAAACAGACATTTATGTAAAATATTGTCTGCCTGGACATTTTAGAAAATACATAAACATGTTATGTAAAGTAAGTAGTAAATTGGCTAAAACATAGTAAATTTTTCATAGCGATATAGGTGCAGATACAGTAGCTTGCACAGTTTGAAAGGATGCAAGGCAAGCTCTGTTGTTGTCTGTATGAATGTCTGTGTCGTCTTTATATCTCTGATCTTATCGTCCTCCTTTCTGTCTTCGCCCCTGCAGGCTGCAGATCTTCGTACCTGCTCACTATGTGTCTGAGGGCCGCTCGCTCAGCCCACAGCCATGCCAGACGTAAAGCCTCCACCGCCATGTGATTACCCCTCCACCACCTCCATCGCAGCCTCTGGCGGCTCTCCTGCTGGCTGTGCCTCTCCCCTTGACCTCGTCATAGACATGGAGCCCTGCATCGCCAACCTCCCCCTGTCCCCGGACCCCTTAGCCTCCTACCCCCACAGACACAGACCCAGTGTCCCTCACTACCCGGGCCACCAGGGGCCTCCCTTCCCACTCATGGCCAGGTGTAACAGCAGCACCCTGCTCACTAACCTGGGGCTGAGGTACTGCTCCAACAGGCAGGACATTCTTGGGGTAGGGCCGGATGAGGGTCTGGCCCCGGGATCCTGCATCCACACAGGAAGCAATGGAAGCAGGCCTTACCGGAGTATGGAGAACCTGAACTGGAACACTGTGGCAGATCCTGGCCTGTGCGCATTCAGTGCTGCCCCCTACAGGAGTGTGGACAGTGAGTTTATTTTACGCTACACCTCCAGTAGCCACTGGTGTGGCAGTCATCCAGATGGATCTGTAGTGGGGGCCCATGGACTTGTACCCAACCCAGATAGCCTGGCGTTTTACCCCCGACATGGGCTGCCCAGAAAGGACCTACCGCTCTTCCCTCAGTTGCTATTTCCAGGTGGTGTCGATGAATGGGATGCAAGAAAAGGCCTGAGAGAGAAACTCCGCCTCCAGAGTGCACGGTCATCAGCTGAGCCTCTAAAACCCCTTCCATTGCGGCCTCAGGTGACCCCAGGTGCTGCACCCATCGAACGGGAGGGTGTGCATCATCACATGAATTCAGTAGGTGCTGGTCCCAAGCCACTGTGCGCAATGCGCATCACCAGCCCCGAGGAGATCAAGCAAGGAGGTCCTGAGGCGCTTGCAACTCCGACGGCAGAACAGCAGCCCCAACCTGGCCCTCCTCAGCTCCCCATCCAGTCCGAGAGTGGTTAAGACATCCTACACAACAGACAACATTGCAGGTAACAGGAGTGGATCAGACTCTGCATCTGAGCACTGCAGACCTCCTGTGGGACGCCTACATATCCCTACGTTTGAGGAGTTTAAGAGGATGAGGCAGAAGGAGGGAGAACAGAGCAAAGAGTCCACAGCTGGTTCTGTGGTATCTGCAAAACCTGAGAATGACTTGCCACAGGAAGCAGAAACATCAGACAGTAAGACACCTTCTGATGGGACTGTTCCTCAGTCCGACTCTAGTGGAGGAAACAGTAAACAGCAAAAAAAGGTGGAAGGAGAAATGAGCACAGGTGAAAGGACAGGCAACAGTGGTGAATCCCTGCAGACTGTCACTTCCTCAGAGAGATCTCCATGTAGCACTGTGAGCAGTAACAGCACTGCAGTTCCCACCCCCATTTCCAGCACATACTCTCCTATACGCACAGGCCCGTCTCCACGTACACCTCTGCAGCCCCTGGCCAGCTCAGCCCCGGAGAAAGCCTCTGCCACATGGGGAGATGATGGGAACAGCAGGCGTAGGAGGAGCAGTTTGGAACCAGCTGGGTCGGTTCCCTTCCCGCCCAGCAGGGAGAACTGGGATCGGCCCTCCAGCTGCTGCCCAGCTCTCCTTCTGGAGGGGACGGACCTGTCCAGCTACGGAGCCAAGATCTATAAGATGAAAGATGGCCTCATTGGATCTGCACTGGACCTCATCAAGAAGAGGTAAGTCTGGGAGGGGGGCAGGAAAAGGAGGAGGGGGGTGAATGGGTTAATTACTGTCAGAAGTATTCAGATCCTTTATTCAAGTAAAACAAAAATACCACAATGAAAATACTTCATCACTTGTAAAAGTCTGCATTTAAACATTTTGCTGATCATGTACTTTTACTCGAGTATGAAAAGTAAAAGAATATGTTATTTACCTAAAAATGTACTTAGATATGTATTTAGGAACTTTTCGCCATTGATTAGTGTGTGTTTATTGTTCAATCTTGCCAAGATACAAGTGGAGGTGTAATTTCAGTCCCTTAGCTTGAGTGTCGCTTATTGTGAAAGCAGCTCTAGTGAGGATCATTTTGCCATTCATTTGAGACTTGACTTGGACTTGATCCAAAAGACTTGAAAACAGCTCTGATCATGATCATGGTTTTCACGCACGCACACATCAAGATGTGTGTGGGTGTTGCTCAGCTCTGTACTTCAGTACAATTTTTTCATTATTATGATGTATTTTTCCATTACTGCATGTGCTCTTTATACTCATTTTACACTAATTTTACATTTAATACATAAAATTGGGATTTTACACACAAGCATGTAAAATACAATGCATTTTGCAACTTAAACCATCCAACTGTATATACAGAGTCGCTATACCTTCACCAGCTAGATTAAAATGTTTATGCTTACATGTAAATGCATCAATGATGCCGATCCTGTATGGCATAATTGGCAGCTCGTGCTAACTGTTACTGTGGTAAATAAATGGCTTTAGTTTGTTTTTTACATGACAAACACTAAAACGTGGTGTTGGATTGGGTTGGGGACGTGAAGTTTGATTTATAGCACAATCCTGCAGTTCATGGATTTTCTTTTAATTGTGTTTGAATTGTAAAAACTGGTTTTTTTTTGTTTTTTTTGTCGTTAAAGTATTTTTTTTTCATCAAATAATACAAACAACTTACAAAAGACAACAAAAACAAAAAACAAAACACAAAAAGGCAGTCAAAACTAAACTTAAAGGACAACAACCCTCTACACCCCTCTGTACCACTGTACTGTTTGTGATTATATCAACAGCGATGTGTTTCAACATATGCTTAATGTAACAAGCCCTTAATATATAAAAAGAAATAGTCCCATACTAAATGTTACTAGTTCCCTTTAACATTGTTCTTTCTGGCAATCAAATATTTGTAAGATGCAGTCTGCGTCATCAGTTGAGTCCAATCTGCGAGCCCCGGCGTACTTACACTTCCAACACCTTTTGTCTTCTACTAAGCCCATTCTAAAAAGCTTCAAAGGAGTATAGTAGTATCTATGTATGATTTTGTAATGGGTAAATTTGCTTCTAATATCCCTAGTGGCCCAGCCAACCTTGGAAACTATATTATGCCATTTCTCCTTACCTATTTCACATTCTAAATCTCTTTGCCATATTAATCTAAGATTCTCAGTATTCACACTTTGTAATTCCATTACATTTTTGTAAACTATTGAAGCACTATGCATTGTACTTGGCAAATCAAAATGGTTTTGCAACATATTAGATTCCTCTATACTTCTGTTAAGTGGGAACACACTTCGCACACTGCTCCTTAGTTGTTGATATGTCCAAAATTCACCCCTTCCCTCCAAAAGAAATTGATCCACTAGCTCCTGATATGACTTAAAAACTGCATCCTTATATAGATCATCAATCACACATATACCGTTCCTCTACCAAGGAACCCAACAAAATGAGTGTTTACCTATCACGATATGTGGGTTATCCCATATGGAAGAATACCCCTGCTTGTATTGTGATTTCCCCATCAACCTATGCACCTCAGACCACACCCATTGAGAGTGCTTCAGAATGGGATTTTTTTCCCCCTCTACCACCTTAATCTGAGAAAGCGCCTGTATGGGTCTGGAGGGAGCCACCATGGCCATTTCTATCTTTATCCAATCCGGTTGAGAACCATAGTTAGCCCAATGCCTCCCCAGCTTAGCCAATTCGAAAGCTAAATTATATATTACATTAATTTACAATCTACATTTGGAAGGCCCAAGCCCCCATTTTCCCTAGTAGTACATAGTTTTTTAATATTAATCCTTGGCTTTTTTCCATTCCACAAATAATCTTTAACCATTTGATTATTGTTTGTATATGCCACTAGGAATAATTACTGGCAGCATCAGTGATATATAATTAAATTGTGGTGCTATCACCATCTTACCCCAAATTGTTTCTGATGCTGTGCCATCATTGTGTGAATCAGAAGACTAGAAAGGAGCTATATAAGTACAGTCAATTTACCATTTCACCAAAAAAACTACTTTACCTAAAATATATAATATATATAATATATAATATAATATGGTATCTCTTCACTGTCATTTCTTATTAGTTGTCAACTGACATATACGCCAATATGATATATCTTTAGCTAAAAGCGGGCTCTAACTTTTAGTACCATTACACTGTTACTGCTACTATTACTTCTACTTATGCAAAGAATTGGAAAAGTTATCCCAACCACTGCCAGGATCAAAGTGAAGTTGGAGTCTTTTGTGTTTGTATCTATCAATACAAACCAGCTTCAGGTAGACTAATGAGAATCTATATGAATCTATGAATTATTTATGTATACTCTGTTTGTGCTGCACTGTACTCGCAACATTTTACCAATAAGCATATCATTTTAAGTTAATCTTTTTGACACTGAAATTAGATCCTGTAGTACATATCATTTGAGCCCTGTGGCTGCTTGCAGGAGCAGAGGTGTGTGTATTTATCAGTGAAGTGAATGTGCGCACACTTCCATGTGTGTACTTTGCTGTGCCAGAGTGTCATATTGGTGAGTGTGAGTCCATCTGTTTAAGCCTGTGTGTGTTGTTGTGTTATCGATTTATCTCAGTTATTGTGATAACAGCTGTCGCAGCTAACAGGGTTGGCTCTGCAGACTAGACTGTGGGCGGGAGGCTGGCATGAAGCATGACAGACTGGAAGACTGGCACCGTCCCTACAGACTTACTGTTTCCCTGTCTCTCCTCTCTCTGTCAGCTGTTGGCTAAATAGATGCAGGCTTCACTCCACTGTGGTTCATTCTGATCAAGGACAAACAAGAGGAGGATGTGTTTTACAGCACTGTGGTGCCATTTGGGTCCAGGCCCCCATGCAATGTAAATATCAAACCCTGAACACAGAGGAGCTACTTGATAAGGCCTGTTAAAGAATATAAACTCCACCCTCCTGCAGGCTGCAGGCTGCTGTGATAGATGGGAGATATAGACAATATCTTTGCCTGCCTGTCAGGAGTCTCCACTGACTGTCACTCCTTTGTCTGCACTGCTAGAAGGGATGATGGATGTCTGAAGCTCTACTGCATGAAGGCAGCAGAAAAATAACTGCTGTGTGTGTGTCTTTGTTTAGTATATGTTCAATATGCGAAAGTGCAGAACTGCAGTCTTGGGCTGCAACTAAAGGTTATTTTTATGATTGCTGTTATATAGCCATTCAAATAGTGAAAATGCCCTTTGTGAGGTCTTCAAATTACTTATTTTAATCAATCGATCAACCCTATAACAAGTATAACAGTCTACAGCCATGCTAGTGGATCTGCCAGGCTGTACTTGCAGACATTGGTGTTTTGAGCTACATGCTAACATCAGCGTGCTAAAATGCTGATAAGCAGGTATAATGTTGACCATGTTTAGTTTAGTGTGATAGCATGCTAACCATTGCTTGTTAGCACAAAAGAGAAAGTGCAGTTAAGGCTGATGACATTAGTTCTGCAGGTATTTGGTTATAAACCAAAATATTGGACAAATTGAAATTTTGACCTGATGATGACGCTAGATAACCAAACTCATTTTGAATCATCCTGAGGGGGAACATGACTTTCTGTAGCAAATTTCATGACAATCTTTTCAATAATTGTTTAGATATTTCAGTCTGGACCAAAATGGTCCACTGACTGATATTGTTATCTAGAAATAAAAATGAAATATTTTCAGTTTGTGATGATATAAAACAGAGAAAAGCAGCAAATTCTGACATTTAAGTAGCTCGAACCCGAGAGCGTTTTGCATTTTGCTTGATAAATTACTTATATTACCAACTGAATACCACTCGCCTCCCAAGCATGTAGGAGAAATTACAGTGGCTGGGAAACTCACAAAAAAAGCAAAAGGCCCTATCTAGAGTCAGTGTTTGTCCATTCGGGGCTACTGTAGAAACATGGTGGTTAAACATGGTGGACTCTATATGTGTGTACCTGCTCCTTCTGTAGATAAAAACATCTCATTCTAAGGTGACGAAACACAATGATTCTTATTTTCAGGTGATTATACAGTAATAAAAAGATACCTATAAAATTATATACCATTTCTGCCAATAGATCCTCCTAAATGTTACACACTGGACCTTTAATTGTCTCCCAGTTGATTAGTCAACTAATGATTTCAGCACTACTGTAGTCCTCCCATAGAGCCTATTGACAGCTCCGGCAGCTCATGTTCAACATTGTTTATCCCAAGTGGATTCATCTTTTATGTTCCAAAAACACACATAATGCAATACACTGCATGCTCCCTCTTGCGACTTCAATTTGACTTGAGGCTCCGTGAATGTTTTATATGTTTTAATGATTTATTACTTAAACATGACCGTATTCTGTGTGATCTCTGCACCCTGAGGTATTTTTACTTCCACCAATAAGTCTCTTTGTTAAAGTGTATCATGCAGTAAAACTTGTATACAGAGCATAATACAACTTTAGGTGTGATTTTACAATTTTGAAATATTATAGTGATCATATTATTACACCTGGGAGGGTTGTATAGAGATAGAGTGAAGCACTAATCCAGCCTATGTGAATTAATTGTACACTGTAGTAAAGGTGGACCAGTTACTGTATGTCTAGCATGTGGAGGTAGGCCATGTGTCCACTGTATCTAACATTTATTTGTCTCTATTTGATGCTCACACTGATAAATGTATTGAATTCATTGAAGTGATATATGCATCAGTGAAAATGACAGCCGGGCTAATTTCAGTGTCACATTGTGCCGTATTGAGTGGTGATCTATCACATACAGTGGTTTCCTGATGAATTAAGCTTCAGGTTATTACTTCCCATGCATCATCCGCTGTGTGACAGCAAATACTGTGAAGGAAAGGCCTTTAATGACAGTTTGTCCGAGGAAAAAAACGATTGGACACTTTAGAGCTGCATCCTCTGAAGTGTAGTAATTATAAATGCCTTTTTGCCACAGTTTAATTTGGACACCTGTCATCTGCTGTGTTGGCTTTGTTGATTACATTTGTAATACAAAACTGTACAGATTGCCAGGGTTTGCTGTAGTTTAATAGGAAAAACGTGTGTGTGCTGAAGTGCCACAGTGCTTCAGAGGGATGTTGAGAAATCATTTTTATGACGTGTCCAGAAAGAGCTCAGCAGTTTAACTGGTTTGAGGGGACAGGAGCTCAGAAAAAACAGTTATGTAAGAACCATTACGATAATGAGACCTCATGTTACCTTGTCACAGGGATGTTTTAGGATATGTAACAGGCCAAAGTGTGTCATGTCAGAGGTTGTTGAACAACTAATTGATTAGTGGATTGACAGTAATGGTTTCTGCTTCTTGAATGTGATGATTTTTTTCAGTTTTGTAGTGTAAATTGAATATCCTTGGGTTTTAGTCAGATGAAACAAGGGTTATAGTTCTGATCATGGACATTTTTCACTCATTTCCAATACTTCATAGACTTAATAATTATCAATTAATCAATAAGGTTGTTGACAGATTCATCAATAATGGAAATAATTTGTAGTTACAGCCCTATTTAAAACAAACTATAAGAACTGTTTAAAGGTTCAATGTGTAACATTTAGGATATATTGGCAGACATGGAATATAATATTCATAGGTATGTTTTCGTTACCTGTCTGTAATGTAGATTGGTAAATAATAAGTAGAAGAGTGTTAACTTTTAGCCAATGAAATAATAGTGACATTAAAATAGTCACCATTTTTCTAGGAATACCCTGGAACCCCCTGAAGGACCCCTCGGAGTCCCTGGAACCCAGATTGAGAACCACTGCCTTAGAATGAGCTGTTTTTATGTACACAGGCAGCAGATCTTCTTCCACGGAGGCTGCCAGACGCAATCTCATCGCTAGATGCCGCTAAATTCTGCACACTAGTCCCTTAAGAGACTGGGATAGGACAAAGAAAATGCAAACATGCATGTATACAGTAGCCACAGTAACAGCAGCAGTTTAACTGATGATAACAAGGTAGTTAGTATACTGTGAACATGACAAGAGACAAGCGAGAGAAGAGAAAAGAGGTGATCGCATGCAGCATTACATAAAGCTCAGGAGCCAATATCACTGAATCTCAACTGTATGTGTAGCTGCTGTTGGATAAAAAGCATGTAGCCCCTCAATGTTCAGCACTAACCCCTGCTGCTCCTGAGACTAACCATCCCCCATCTTGTTATATACACCACTTTGGACAAAAGAGAATTTGGACAAGTCAATAATTCAGGAATTCACTGCCATTCTTTCATTCTGAGAGCCAGATATTGTTAAGACTCCATTATGGGTTTTGACCCCTGAGTCTACTAAACCTGCTCAGCCAATAAAGAACCACAAACGCCTTTAATTTGAGTAGGAATATAATAATCTCTAAAATAGCTGTTGTAAGGGTTTTTGTTTTCTTGCAGTGATATTATATTTCACACTCGTGCCTGCTGGACTGAGACGCTCACCAGTGTTTGAAAAACAAAATCAATACACTGTATATAGTTCCTGTTTTAATAATGTCTGAAAGCAAAATTTAATGATGTGTGCATTATTTTAAAGGCCGACTAATCAATATGACTACATGTGATGGGACCGGGGTCACTTGCAGTGAGGAGGACATAGGGAATTATTTGCTTTTTTAGCCTCTTTTATCTCATTCTTTTGGTTTGATGGCATTGTTTACTGCCCAGTGTTTCAGAGACAGAAGGTTTTCACAAAAAAGGCTGGTAAAAAGGTGGAACATCAAGCTGTTAAAGAGCCAGATATTTTTCTCAGAAGTTAGTGGAGACACAAGGGCAGAATTTACAAAATCCTGTTTTTGTCCCCCTAATTTGAAAGGTTTTAGTTTGATTTACTCACTAAAATCTAAAAAGAGTGTTCAGCTGCCAAAATCCAGAGGAGAGAAGAGCGATTTTGATAAAGATGTTGATATGTTTGTCTCGGTCAGCTTAAACATTACCGTGGAAAGTAATTCAACTTTACAAGCAGCAGCAATCTGCAAAGGTTGTTTTGCCGTTTTACTGTCTTATCGGTTAAAGCTATACCTACAGCCTGAGAGGAAGATCTGCTGGTACTACTCAGGGCTTTAAAATACTGTAAACTTCTTTTCAGGTATAGACAACTATTAATTTAGAAAGCCTTGTGATATGTTAATTGATAGATTTATATAAACACAGAAAATTAGTCACATCGTTCTTGTTTGTTTTAGTTTTCAAGAACCTGACTTCATAACAGAAGTTATCTCAGGACACAGAGCAGGTCGAAACCATACTAGATTATATACACAGACCCATCAATTTCTACCATTATTGATAATGGTTGCTTTGTGTCTGCTGGATGGTCACCATAACAACTTATTATGCATTATTATGTGTTGTAGTGTTTGTCTGCCCCCAATTGGCCAAAAAAAGAATAAGAAAAGAATCAATGCAATCAGGTAGAATTGTGAGACTGGTGTGTCACAAACTTACTTTGTTTTGGTATTTTTATGACTTTATTGGACAACAGTCAACAGTAGAGAGACAGGACAGAGAGACAGGGGAATGACTTACAACAAAGGTCCCTTGCCAGATGCAAGCCGGAAACATTGCAGTTCATGGTCAGCATCTTACTCCTAGGGCACTTAGACTTCTTGTCTGTGCTGTGTGTGTTTGATATGTTCTCTTACAAATGCATGCATGAGTCCCTGCAGGCATGCAATTGTGGTTTGTGCTCATGGATGTCTGCACTTTAGTGTAGTCACACAGTGTGTTTGTCACTGCCTGTGTGCTGTTGTGGGGTGTCTTGGATCACATGCTGGCTGTGTACTGCAAGAATGGATCCCCAGTGATCAGAGAAAGGAATGAAGGAAACGTATGATGCCTTTATGTGTGTATGTTTGTGTGCAGGCAGTGTCCCTGTGGTCCAAGGGTTCAGGTGTTAATGTCTGCTGATGAGTCTAATTGCTGTCCTCCTAAACAGGGGCGGAGGTTAGGGGGGTTAGAAAAAGAGGAAAGGCATTGATTTGGGTGTTTGGGGTGGGCAGAGGGATGATGGAAGAGGGGGAGGGTGACATGTGAGAGGAAGAGGAGAGGGAAGAATGAATGACAGGGATGCTGTAAGGAGAAGAGTGCTCTGACAGAATTACAATTTCAACCCTCCTCTCTTTCCTCTTCCCTGCATTTTCTTCATTTCCCTCCCACATCCTGCTTCTATCCTCCTTCTCTTCCTCTCATTCTTTTGCTCTCCCCTCTCCTTGCCTTCTCTTCTTCCCCTCGTCCCTCCCTTTCACTCTCCCCCTCTCTCCCTCCCTTCTCTCCATCCATCTCTCTCCCCCTCTGTACCACCGTCTCCACATCTCTCCACCAGCTGCAGTGCAGAGATCTCCGCCGAGGCCCCCGTCAGGCTGTCAGGTGACCGGGACGGAGGCTGTGACATCACCGCCCCCTCGACCGACTGTCAGCTCTCCGCCGTTGCCATGGCAACGTCGGCAACGGCCTGCAGAGCCGAGGCTGGCGACGAGACGCCTGCAGGAGGAGGAGGAAGAGAGGAAGCAGGAGAATGCGTAAGGATTCTTTTTCGTTTTCTTCCCCCCTTTTAATGTCTTAAATGTGTCGCCTGCGTGTGTCTTTGCTCGCCGCTTTTCATAGTTGCTTCGTAGTGTACAGAAACACATAGATCTATTGGTATTCAAGGATGACTGGGACAAGCAAGGGGACTGCGACACACACACACACACACACACACACACACACACACACACACACACATGCACATCACTCACACATACTGGTGCAGAGGTATTTGTTGAGACAGAAACGAGCATGCAGCGCTCTGTCTTCCAGCAACAGCTCGACGTCTGACGATGCAGTAAAAAGAGGATCAAGCTGGCTGCTGGTAACTCAGCGTTTCATTCCTGCTCTCTGCATGGCTCCTCTCCGCTGGCTGGCTGCAGCTTGACTCCAGCCTCAGCTGCAGCAAGCATTGTGCTCCACTCTGTGCATCTGCAGAACAGAGGAGCCGGGCTGACATGGAGTCACATATTGCTTGCATGCTACAAGGCTGTAGGTGGTTTTAGAGAACAGATGTCGAGGTGCGTTTGCTTCTTGCCTTTCTTAATTTTTGGCTTTGAATCCACAAAGGACCCTGCCTCTGCGTTCCCAAAGTAAGGGCTGCGATTTGATAATTCAGCGGAACATGAATTATTCTCCTTCATTTTACCTGATTGCTGCAAGCTGTATATCATGTTGTATTCTGGTATGGAGCAATGAAAACCTTTCTGCGCCGTTCAGCCATGTGTAGCTGTTAGTTGTCAGAGAACGGTCAACATTTGGGGAGGTAATCTCTGATGTAAAGCCAGTATCATCAAATGCACTGGATGTGGGTGATGCCTCTGGGATGAGGAGTTGCATGTCATAGCGATGACCTTTGAACTTTCCACCTTAGGTCAACTCTCAGGGGCTTGATAGACCCTAAGAGGATTTCAAAAGCCACGTGAGCAGTGTTTGTCCATACAGAATGCTGCAGCATGTTGGGGAATTCCTCGCTTTACCTTAAAAAAACCCCGGAGACGCTTTGAATTGTCACTCGGGGGACGTTTCTTATCTTCGAGGCTGGGTGGTTTCAAGATGTGATCAGAGCATATTTTTGGATGTGTGGCCTCGTTGCGTTTAGAGTCTGTTACAAGACTTGGCAGACGATTAGTGTGACATCTCAGTATGAAATCTGGAGTCTTGTCAGTTCTACAAGCAGGGATCAGACAGATAACCAAGATTTGTTATGTAATGATGTCATGACAGTGAACATGGTGGCATGAAAACTCCTCACACAGACACACACAGATACACAAGCTGTGATTTCTCCCTTATCATCATTCTCACCTTATCTCCTCCGAGAGTTGTGCCCTTTTTCATCTGTTGCTATAGCAACATGACCGTTTGATTGACACACATGTCCTTCCAACCGGCAGCACACCGGTCTGGGCTGCAGGCGCTCCAGCTCGGACGCAGCCTATGAGCTGGCTGAGACGGTGAGGGCGCAGCGAGAGTGCCGTCTCCGGCCCCACTACAGCGACCCCATGCCAGCAGACGCCTCCAAGCGCAAACAGCTGGAGATGAAGATCGCTGCAGCCGCCCGACTACACAGCCATCGCAGAGACCGCGACAGAGACCGAGACCGAGACAGTGGTGAGTACATGACGCATGTGTGACAACTGTGGCACAGTGTTTGACCTGTTTTCTGTCTCTCATCATTTTTATCCAAGGGCCGTAATTCAAGGCTCCAGAATTTTATTTATAAACAGAAAATGTACACATTTTTAATCTGCATCTGGATTCAAGTATGGATCAAACTTAAAAACTTATACTGATTTGCTGAAGGTTAAAAATACTCAAATCCCACCCAGGAATAACAATGACTTTTACAAAGTTTAAAGTGAGCCACAGTCATTGTAACTGAAGCACCACATAATGGTGAGAATTGCTGCAGGCACCCAAAGGACTTCTCTGATTATCCAAATATTCAATGTACTAAATCTGGTGAATATTGGTGTTGAGGAGGAATTTTAAGAAACTGTCCAGAAAATTCACAGTGGAGGACAAGCTGTTAAGGTGGAAATTAGTGTGGCCTCTGCTGAAATATTCATCTTGAAGCATGACATGACAAAAAATAATTTTCTTTCTACACCTCATGGCACCAGAGTTGTACACCAGTGCTTTATAAATGGTTGCATGCTTATCCCTTAATCCATCTATCATTCCTTAATTCTTATGATTCTTCATAGGAGAATCTACGGTTGTACTTGCAAAAAATGTAAAAGGCCCTATCTGGTGCCAGTGTTTGGTTTGTGGCTCCAGAAACATGGCGGTTCAACATAGCGACCTCCATAGAAGAGGTGCGGGTCCTTCAATAGATCCTCCTAAATCTTACACACTGGACCTTTAAAGATCCCATAATCCAACCTGTTAACATCTTTTTGTTAAGAAAGACCTGCCATGCAAGCACCTGTGCTTTCAAACTTCTAATGAAAACTAAATGTTACACACTGGACCTGGGTTTTAATTAAATTGAAAGTCATCTCACTGTCACATTGGGCATTTCCAGTTTTTGATTTGTTTTAGTTATTAGAACAGCCCATTCAGCCATATCCATACAGAGTCCTGGGCAGTTTGATTTACACTCAGACTCTGAGTATAGGCTACACATCTTAACACACAAACACTTACACACACTCCCACTGTTATGGACCCTGTGTAATAATAAAACCAGTTTGTTCAGAAACAGGCCCCAGCTGTTTATCAGGGGTTATGACTTGATGCTTCCTTCCTGTGGAGAACTACATCCAGCCCACTCTGGTCATAAATGTAATTAGAATTAATATAATTACAGAACTCCACATCCTCATTACATCTCCCGCACCTCATCAGGGAAGGTGAATTACCCAAAATTGTGAATGAAACTCCAACTAAGCCTGGCATTTTACAATCCGTCCCATTTTGCAAAGTTTAAGGCTATTAAGAGCTGCATTTGTTTTGTTTTAACATTATGTAACTTAGTGTCCGGCTCATCTCTGACTATTTTGGCACTCTGCGACCAGTCCTCAACTCCCCCAACACACACACCCACACACACACACACACACACACACACACACACACAGAGTTCCCCTGCTAATACCCAGCTCTTCCTTGTCAACAGAAGCTCTTTGACACTGGACACAGAATGTCAGTCAGTATGGCATATGCTAATGATGACCTTGTTCCTCTTTCCAGTAGATAAAATACTGACTTAAATGTTTTATTTTTTTTTAAATATCATCCTCTCGTTTCATATTCATACATAATTCACATATCACTTGTATAATGAATTGTTTTTAAACCCTGTCTTACCAGCTCAGCAGACACACATAGTCTCTCTGAACACACACACATGCACGTGCACAATAGTATTGACATGCACGTGGACAAAGGTTAAGTCCTTGACTGGAGGGTTAGGGATCTAATTATTGGAGAAAGATGATATCTATAAAAGTTTCTTCATTTTGACATGACCAGTAATGACTAGTCCAGATTAAATTGCCGTTCATTAGGGAGGCTGCTATTAATTGTGTGTGTGTGTGTGTGTGTGTGTGTGTGTGTGTGTGTGTGTGTGTGTGTGTGTGTGTGTGTATATATATATATACGTCCATGCAGTGTGAATAACAAAGACTTTACAGAGCAAATCCATAAACATCGTGAGCACTAATGAATCTGACCTCTCTCTGATCTATCTGATCTCCACCTCCCTCTCCCCAGCTCCAGCAGCAATACGTGGTCGTTCGGAGCCCCCCGGTGAGGAGCGCCAGGCAGGTCTTGGTGTGACCCGGTCTGGGCAGCACCGCTGGAGCACCATCAGCAGCCTGAGTGCTGACAGTGGAGTGGTGGGCCTCAGTGATGAGCGTGAGGAGGAGGATAGTGAGCCTCGCCGTTACCGCAGAAACCGAGGAGCCGAGGTGGAACGGGTGGACAGCGGCATTGGCCCGGGTCTGTCCCGCACCTGGAAGAGACCATCTGCCTCCCTCAGAGCCTGGGAGGCCCAGAGACCCTGTCCAGACTGTGGACTGAGGGACGGGGCCTCCAAAGAGAGAGGAGAGCGCATGTGTGAACGTTGCTCCAAGTTGCGCACCGAGCGCAAGGAAGCCATCCTGGAGTTTCTGAACACAGAGTCGAGCTACGGTGAGGACCTGCGGATCATCAGGGAGGAGTTTTACTGCCCCATGCAGAGTGCTGGGCTGCTGACAGCTGAGCAGCTCATTGTGGTGTTTGGTAACGTCCAGGAGCTGATAGACGTCAACGACCGCTTCACTGAACACCTGCAGGACAGCATCGACCAGGCCTTTGACCAGGTGACCCTCTCTCTCTCTCTCTCTCTCTCTCTCTCTCTCTCTCTCTCTCTCTCTCTCAGAAACTAGTTCTTGCTTGTTTTGTCAACCAGTCATTTTTCTTGATTCTAGTACCATGATTTACCCATTTCCATCAAGACACTGACACGTATTTCTAGAATGGGGCTGCTGCTCACAGAACACAACACACAGTATCTCCAATGCACCCCTTTGCAATATGTTGGTCACTCTTTTGCTATGTCATGCCTGCTGCTTCACTGTTGCCTCCATCCCAGCATTAATCTGTAGCCACTGAGGCTGAGGCTAAACTCTTACACTGGGCTGAGCTTGGTGTATCCTTGTGGTAAAAAATATACGGGCCAAATATAAACTCTGTATATATTCTGCATTCACACAATATTTATTGGTGTTGCTGTACCGGCAGATCTTTTAGACACAATGATGGACAACTATGACTTATTAAGACAAATTGTTAGTGCAAAATGTTAATTAGTTGAATATTGACTTGACCATTTTCTCTCATGTGGTTCGACCAAAGGGAGATGAAGATCTGCTGACAGTGTACATAGGAGAGATCTTCCTGGAGTTTGTCAACATGCTGCCCGCCTTCCAGACATACTGCCTGCAGCAGTCCACCTCAGTCAACATGCTCAACACACTGGAGAAGGAGAAAGAGCTGCTCAGGTACAAACAGAGTACAAAGGTCCTTCTTCCAGTTAGTCTGTATGATGGAAAAGTTACTCTGGGAGCTTTCTCTAGTTCCTGCCACGGCTGTTCTGTATAATTCTTAATGGAAAAGACAGCGGGTTATGACTTATTCAGAAGAAGTTCTATTTTGAGGCTAGAGCTGCAATGATTCATATTTTTAGACAGAACCACAGCTCATCCATGAGTCAGGCTGTCCTGTGATTCCCATTAATCAACGTTTTAAGAGTTTTCCCAGTACATCAGATATCTCTGTTTTCAACTTAATTTTCTCTTGTCTGTCTTTTCAGAATCTTCCTGGATGTTTCCCAAAATGACAACACGGCACTGCGTCGTATGAACTTGCGTTCCTTCCTCATGGCACCCCTCCAGCGCGTGACTAAATACCCACTTCTACTGAGCCGAATCATTAAGGTCACCCCCGAATGTCACCCGGACTATGCACGTCTCCGTGAGGCCAAGAGTCGGGTGGAATCCCATCTGGAGCACATCAACATGAAGACCAAGCAGGAGGGGAATGGTGTCACATGGTCCCTCCGCTCGTTCCGCCGCGACAGCCGCAAAAATCGGGAGGTCATCAACATCGAAATGCGAGAGGTGTCGATGAAGACAGTGGGCTGGGCTAGAGAAAACACACGATTCGTTATGGAGGGACCCCTTCAGTTGTCCCAGCCAGCAGATGGTCAGTGGGTGAGGAAGGGCAGCAAGGCCCTCAAGTTCCAAAATGTCCAGAGTCTGCTGATGGTGAGGACACAGCGGGCCGGTGAAGCTCCAGGACAAGGCACTGACCTGGGGGCACGGGGGGATCAGGGGGAGGGTGGTGGAGATGGCATTCGAGATGGAGTGCTGGTTCTAATCAAGGACAAGAGCAGCGGGAAGTTCACAGTGCTCAGAGAGCCCATCCGTCTGGGAAACTGTGTGGTGTCGACGGATCCGGACTGCGAGGACACATTCGAGGTGCTCGATATTCGGCGAGAGTCTTTCGTTTTCCGTGCCTCGGACAAATCTCGCACCCAGCAGTGGTTCCACCAGATTAAGAGATACGCTCGAGACTTGGGCACCTGGAGGAAAAGACGCAACGCTTTGCCCAACATCATGATCAACACAAACCAGAGCCGCTCCTGAGACTAACCATCCCCCAACGTTGTTACACTGTAAATAATCTGAATCCTTCTACAGCAAAAATAAACTGACAACAAGAAGCATTTGAGTGACGCCACTGTTATAACTTCAGTAAATTTCAGTTAAAAAAAAATCTTTCTCAAAGCCTCACAAGGGTAAGAGAAAGATAAGGCACTTTTTTCTTACAAAGCTATAAGTGCACCATACTGTCATGAAATCACGTGTGAAGATTTAAGTCGTAAAAAAGAAATCAGATTATTGGACAACCAAAAAACTTGGGCTGTGCTTGTCAGCCTTGATTGTAAAGACTGTTTGCTCTTGCAGAAAGAGAGCTGAGTTTTCAGTAAATAAGGTGTGTCTGTTGAAAAGCATGGCTGATCATGACTGACTGCAAAAAGAAAAATTGTAATGTCATTTTTATACAAGACGGTGTGTGGGGGAGGGGGGGGACATTTGTTTTTGGTATGAAGCGGTAGAGATGTGGTCAAGAGCTTTTGTTCAGTGGTTCCTGTTTATCATCACTGCCCTCTCCTGTCTGTGTGCCGCCCTCTACTGTATGTCGGCGGTAGAGCAACTTTCACTGCCAGAGATGCAGTTGAGCAGAGCCTCTTATTGCAGGCTGAACAGACCTCCTGTATCACTGTGTTTAAATGAGAACTCACGTAACAGCAATAATCTCTGCCAGTTTCAAAAGAAGTAGCTACTGTATATGCATTTAATTTCCCAAGATATCCTTTGGCATTCATGGGTTCATCCTGCTTCAATGAGCGCTGTTCTGGTCAATCCTTGGTGTTAAGATAATCTTAGTGCCATGAAAGCAGTTAGTGAGAAGTCTAGTCAATCTCCTTTGTGGTAACATCATGTTTAATAGGTAAAGTCAACCACTGCAATTTCCTCCACTGTGTGTTAAGTCCAGAGTTTTTCAACCTTAGGTTCAGGCCCTCGTGTCAGACCTGGCCAAGGGAAAGATGTGCTGATATTTGTTTGATCTATTTATAGGGCTGCAACAATCAATTATATACATTCAATCTATTCATCTGATTAATCATTCGGTCTACAAAATGTCAGGAAATGGCCTCAATCTCAAATTCCCAGACCCAAAGTTATTTAATGTACAGTTTTATAAAGGTTAGAGCAACATTTGAGAAACTGCAAATGTTTTAAATAAATAAACGACAAACAGTTACTTGATAGACTTTGTGTTAAACAAATAACGTTGCAAAAATATGCTGTTTTTGTAACAGGAAATCTCTCCCATTGTTGGGGTACATTTTGGCATAAAGGCTGAAAATCTCTGGTTGTCAAACTCGCCTCAAAAAATCGTCCCAACCATCTTGTCATGACACGGTTTTAACTGTGTTATTATTATGTGACCTAGCGATGAGCTGTTGTGCCTTGGTACTTGATTACTGTTAAGCTAAAACGTACTGAAATATTTGCAACCTGTCACAGTAGCATTCATCTCTGAGATACAGACTAGACTGCCCTCTGTTGGCACTTGATTGAATCAATTTTACAGGCAATATAAATATTCCTCTGACAGTCCCTGGCTGCTGATAATATGTGATCACCTGATCCGCTCTCTTTTATTTTAGTGTTTTTTTTAATTTATGAGGGCTTTATTTTGTTTAATGCACTTTATTCTGTAATAGAAAGCTCTCCAGTATAACTGCTGGTAAGACATGTTACATGGTCTTGTTTATTCACAGTTCTTCATATTAGAAGAAACCTAGTTGACTGAAGCTGATTTCAGTCAATTTCGGGTCATCAAACCAAAACCACTATTTAAGACGGATGCTGTTTTATGTTTGCTATGAAGTAGCACTAAAAAAGAGGTAGCGAAACACTGTGTTTTGGAGGGCGGGGCTGCTCAACTCCACACCAATACTCTTGTGCTGTCGGAGGACGCGGTTTCAGATGAACCCTTTCAAAATGTAAAAAAACAAAGCCTGCTGAGTGTCATACAGTTTCTTTTGTGTTCCTCATTTACATTTGAAAAGACCTGATGTATTATTTCCCCAATGTAATATATTGTGAATTATATTAAAAGATTTTAAACACGACCTTGCTCCTTGTATATTTCTGTGCAATATGCTTAATTGTAAAGTCTTATGAAGCTCGAAATGTAGAATGTAGAAATATATTTACAGTCATTTTTAAGCAGACAACAAGACAACTGATTCAAAAACAGGAATACACAGAGTACAAGTGGAATGCACCTATCACTCCAGGAAACAAAAGAACAAGATGGAAGAGAGCGACAGTGAATTATTTCTTGAAAATACAATCCGGCTCCACTACAGTATAGAAGCAAACAGAAGTGTGGATCATAGAAACAAACCTTCAAGACATTTCCTGAAGTGAAAAAAAAAAAAAGACAGTAAACATATCACATGCAGTACATGACATTCTGACTAGTTAGTATTCGCTCCTGGATTTCCAGAGAAAGCGCCATCACCTGACAACCAAAACATCCAAATGGCTTAACAGACATATTCATTGGCACTGTTCTGCAAGGGTTCCTTGCTGTTGGAAAACAAAAAAAAAAAGACCAAAAAAATGAATCTAACTAATCACAGAGTAGCTTTATATCACGTGAAGTGCATCTTTGTCATTTCTTTGGCTCTACTTCTACTGGAACCTCATTTATAAGAATCATCAAAACGTCTTCCTTATTAAAGTCAGAAAAGATCAAAATCTGGTGAGAATACTGTAAAAGTTTGAGTTTTGGATTCAAGATTTAACTGTCCGATTGTGGCATCAAATATTTCCTCCATAAATGAGGCTCCTGGACGTCTGTTTGGATGCATCCATTTTTTAACATTATTAATTCAGAGTCCTACGAAATACCACCAGGCGAAAACTCGTTGAACAACACAAACACATTTCGTGCTTTCTTTTTTCTGATTTTGCAAATAAAACACAAACATCGACAAAAAATAAGCTCTGCGTGACTGGAACGCTGTCTGGACTGTCTTCTTGAATGAATTAAGGGTGCAAGAAAAGAAATCGATACACTTGAGCACCGCAATATTTTGTTACATTGTATCAATTCTCAAAAACGCATTATGGACAGCGGTGTTGTAAACTGAGGGCTGTAGTGTTAAATGTTTTTATGCTTTTATGCATATGGTGGGCAGTTTTTTGTCTTCCTTACATTAGCTTTAAAAAAACAAACAAAATAAACCACAATATATCATGATACATTGCAACATATTAAATTGTAACCCCTGTATTGTGATACGTATCATATCACCAGATTCTTGCCAATACACAGTCTTACAATGAATTGAACATCAATGTAATGTAATTTAATAAGAAGTTGACTTTTTTGCAAATTAGATGGAGCAGTTGCAAAAACCAATTCAGTGAAACAGTAACACATGAATCAGACGAAGCTGAGAACACACATTTACAAAAACCAGCAACAAACTGAACCTTCGATCTTAAGCCTCTGAACGAGGGTACCAACTCCATCACGGTCTCAGACAGACTGCCATCCATCTAAAACACTTCTCATGCATGCATTCGCACAAACAAAAACTCAAATGCGCCGCGCGCACACCACGCACGCACACACACACACACACACACACACACACACACACACACACACACACAGTCTGCCATCTGCTGCTAGGGCCTCAGGTAGATCCCTGGGTCTTGCCTTCCAGGTGGGGTAAGGTGCAGCAGCCGTGGAGAGGTCCCAGCCCTCCTCTGTCTCCCACAGCCTATCACCACCTCCGAGCTCTACTTGTCCACGCCAGATTCGGGCTCCTTGGCCAGCCCGCGGATGGACAGGTCGTAAACCACCTCCTCAATCTTCTTCACGTCATACTTGAGGCCGTCGTAGCGCTTTCGCAGCGGGTCGTTCTTCAGGTTGAGCAGGCGGAAGCCTGAGTCCAGCTCGTTGATGAAGTTGGAGATGCGGAGCGGCCGGCTGTAGTCTCCTGCTGTGACGCTGTTCACCGCCAACCGTGACTGGGGGAAGACACAACAGCACAAATTAAACACAAAGTTACTCAGCTTACATGTTCAGGGTTCCTCTGGTTATCGAGTAATAACTTTTAATGACACGCATACAGACATTTGTTCAAACTACTGACGTGCTAACTTGCTTAAGGGCATTTATAGCTTTCAGAGTTTAAATGGGAAGTTGAAAACACAACCTAACTGCCACTGGCAGTTTCCAGTTGTTTTTTAATTGATTGAATCCTTGATACATAAGATTTAATTGATTGAACTAAATCTCTCTGAAATGACACAAAAACATGACCAACTTCCATTACACTTTCACAGGGCCCAAGGTAACATCTTTCAACTCATGTTTTGTTCAACCAAAACTCAAAGACAAAGACATTCTATCAAAATGATACGATACGAGAGATAGAAAAAAGAGAGAATCAGTAAATTGTCACATTTAAGAGGCTGGAAAAAGATTTTACATTTATAAATGAATTGACTTTCTGAATGTTGAAAAAATTAATTAAATTAATGCCTCAAACAAAATGTACACAGCAGATATTAATCAGGCCAGTTTATTCACCTAGTTAAAACTACTGCCATCTAAAACGGTCCTGTGATAAATCCTAATAAACTGGCAACTGAGTGTATAGTTATACTTATACAACAGAATTTTGTTGTGCACTAAAGACTTTTCCAGGACATACTGGTCTATTTGTCATTTTATAGCACTTAGCCAAGACTAGAAAGCTGTATAATGTACTGTACCCTTTTTTAGAAAGGGCTTTTGGTCACCAAATTGTGCATCAGTGGATATGTATCATACTGTGATCAAAGACCACCGTTTTCTCTCATGATTGACTTTAATCTGCTGCAGCCCGACGGTGCAGTGTATTAGGGGTCCTTAAAGAATTCCAGGACACAAGGGAACCCTGATGTTTCTATATTGACAGGTTCAGGCTACTGAGGTACAATCATTGTTCTAGTCTTAGTATATTGTTGGCATCATAGCAATAAACACTAGACTCACCAGTTCACTAGCCATGATCAGCACACCTGCCAGGTAGTCCTCTACATCCAAGTGAAAGCCTTTCTCTCGCACCACCTCAACTGTGGAAGAGAAACACAGTAAAGAGTAAAGCCGCACTCCTCAGTAAGAGTTACACACTTACGCACAAACTGGTACCTACTGCCGAGTATCTGGGCAACTTCCTCTCGAGTCACAAGAGTTTCACTCTCCAGGTAGACAACAAAGGCTGATAAGAAAGCCAAGCGCTGCAGGACAAAGCGCCAGTGTTCATGGAACCTAAAGTGGGTTCAAACAGATCAGAGAGCGATCAAACACTGATATGATGACCATGATAATTCACTCAGCTTCAATTCTGCTTTCCAGAGAGTTCTGGGTACGCACATTAAATCAAACAACAAGACTATTCAAAACATATAAAACAGTTAGTACAATCTGTGCTGATCAAATGACTGTTATCAAAGGAGCTCCCAAGTTTTTTTGTACTTTGCTGAATGAAATCAAATTTACTTCAGAGAACATCGCTTATCGCACAAACTTTAATTTTTGATTAAGGGAGAATGATGCCAAGATAAAAGCTCCAGCTGAATAATAAGATGAAAGCCTGAAGTATGCTCAGCAATAGAAAGTTAAAAACTGAATGAGGCAGGAAACAAAATAATAAAATGTGACAAATTGAGAGCGAATGTGAAAAGGATGATTCAGTACTATTGCTAGCAGAGGAAACTGTAGCCTAAAGAAAGGATTGCAAAAGAAGATGGTATAGATACGGAGTTAATTTGCTTCATGAGACGAGCACACAAACGGCTTATTTCCCATCACATCGTGAGTGTGTATTGAATCCTACCTGTAATACTGCTCCACAGGGAATTTGGTTTTGAGGTCTGCAAGCTGTGTCCTGACTGTGCAGAACAACTCCCGCGCCCTGGCACATTTACTGGGAACTAATGGGAGAAAGGAAAAAGACTCATTTGACTGTTTGAAGAGAAGCCATCATCAGTCAGTACAAGTTAAAACAGCACATACTGTGTCAAACACTCACTTTCTTTGAATCCAGATGGTTGGTGAACACTTTGGAGCACTGTTAGTATTTCTCTGGCATTCTGCTCCAGTATCTGGACCACCTTACGGATATCCTGCAACAAAGTCAAGTCTTCTCTCAATATAACAGAAATACAAACTCACTAACGTCAAATAATCCATCGATTTTTCTTAAAATGGCAAAAAAAAAAAGAAAAAGCGCATATCTGAAGGGATATTTAAGAAGTGTGTTTGTGCCAAATAAAAGCGAATGTACTTTACCGGAGAGAAATGATGCTAAAAGTGATACATCTTTTCAGCGTTAATTCCACCATTTTTCAAATGAAGTCTGGTGTTACCCATCTCAGTGAAACCGGGCGGAATTGAACAGTAGCGTTGGAACAAAAACATAACATAAAGTAATGTAGTTAATGTATGTTTTAGGAACCCTGGTATGTACTAACGGAGGCTAGTTATCGTAGTCAACCACCGAGCTCGCTGTTTCCAAACAAACAAAGACTTCTGCCATTAAAGTGCAGCTTATCTGCTGACGGCTCGGTTAGCTCCGGGAGCTAATGCTGCTAGCAGCCGTGTGGCGGGTACTTCATTCATAAGTTAACGTTACCTCTCTGACGTCCTGGTCGGCGCTCAGGAAGCCCTGAATGTAACTGAACATCTCGGTGACAGACATTTCTGATCAGAGTCCAGATGTGCGGATGATGCGGATGATGAACCGTCTGCAGCTAATTCATATAAACATCAACGTGCACGAGAACCGTCCCTCCGCCTCCGCTGTGTGGCGCGTGGACATGATGTCATAATGTCCAACGTCGTGGTTTTGTTGCTCCTTATTATTTTATACATTGATGTATCTATGGAAACTGATTGCTTTAGGATTTAAATAAGAGAGATAAACACAATGCATTCATCGTGCAACGGCACTACTACTACTAATAATAATAATAATAATATGAAAATAAGAAAATAATATGTAATTTACCATATAATAATATTCATTATTTCTTTATTTATATCACTTCAGTCTACACACCAGCTATATATTTCACACAAGCTGTAATCTTTAACAAAGTTATAACAAAGTGAATAGTATTTAAACAATATATTCGGTCATTTTTCTGTTGCACAAAGTACCTTTCAAATTAAAAGAGAAAAGAAAAAGTCATTTGATATGCGCCAGTGATCAGGAAACTGTAGTTTCTTTTACGAGGCGGGCCTTCCAGTATGTGTGTGATTTAATTCATGGACAGAAACGGCATTGTTTGGAGGTCAGAAATGTGATGACTCCTCTTTGCCTTCCGGGGTTTAGTCTGACATGCTGCATTACCTCATTCACCCTGTTGATGGAGCAAAAGCAGCGCACTTTGTGTTGCTACCTTTATTTGATGCCCGAATAAAGCAACACCAAACGCAAAATAGTTGCATTCTTTCCCTATTTAAAGGATTTTAAAGGAGTTTAACATCACAAGAGAAGCACTTACAAAACTCATTGGTTAGTCCTTATCCTTAAAGCTCTTTTGTCTAGAACGAAATATACTGTTATAACACAAATATCACCTCTATGGTTTTTGGCAGACATTTTGGGATGTCCGACTCTCTTGTTGTACCATTTATTTATACTTAAGGGGACATTTTTTTTTATTCTAACCAGTACAGTCCTTGGGCTCTAACACAGAATAACAGTACAAAATAAATAACCCTGTCAGAAAAGCATCTTATCTTTATGGAGGCCCATTTGTGGCAGAAAAATAGACATCGTTTTAAAACGACAAAAAAGATAATACTCATCTGAAGTCAAAATTCTAAGATAATAAGTAGAAATTGTGACTTTTTGACTCAGAATTACGAGATTTACTGAGTAAAATTTAGTCTTGACCATGGACAGTAGCCTTTATAATTTGATCTTGACTGAGTAGCTACATTTACATTATGAAACAGTAGGCTAAATTAATCTTAATCGTAATTTAACATCTCATAATCGTAAATCAGCCTAAATTAAGATTTACAAAAAAGGAACTCATTATCTCATAAGTATGACTGACTCCATTCATTTAGATTTATCGTAACTATTTTTATTATTAAAATCAAAATCAGACTCCCACACTCTGATTTATCACTCGCCCTCATGTGCGCTTCCATCGTAGTGCTCAGATTTCCGACGGCCCGGGAAGGCATCACCTCAGAGCGCAGCTGACGCAGAGGACCAGCAGCCAGTCGGTCGCCTGTTGCTCCAACTAGTTGACCAGACAGCTCAGTGCAGGTCAGGAGTTAGAAACCGGTCCATTCAGACTCTCTGCTCGTGTTTTATCTCAACCGTAGCCTGTTTTTGAACTCCCCGTTTTATTCGTGGTGTCGGGACTTTGAAACAATGCAGCTGAGTGCTGTCCAGCCGAGCCTGTGAGATGGAGAAAACCTCAGCAGAAGATGACTGCGTGGATTCAGGAGCCGAGACCGGAGGGTGAGTGAAGCAGAGAGATGTGACTGATCCTCTGTAGCTTCCTAAATGTGTTTGCCTCCGGGTTGATGACTGTTACCTCTCAAAATGTTAAACCTTTGACATAAACAATATTGGAATTTGCTTTTTGTCTAATGAGGCAGTATGAGGCTGAAGTTTAAATCCTTTGAATTGGGCAACAAGAACCTGGGTAGTTTGTCTAGGCACTTTTTTTGTGGAAAACTATATCAGACATATGTATTACGACTAAAAACGTGTGAGGGGACATTTGGGAAGTATATACCGAATTAAATGATGCTGTAAGAGCTATACCTGGTCATATAAGCAAGACATCATTAAATCAACACCTTTTTAAGTGAAGCTAGGTGTGATCCATCTCAGTCCAACCTGAACTGATCAAAAGAAAAGTTAACTCTTAATCACCAGTTTAGTTGTTCATGAGAGTACAGCCACACTGTCGATGGAGCTTTATATAAGCATGTTTTGACAACAGAGAGTTAAATGAATGTATTGTTCTTTCTGTTTTCAGCCATTAGGCAAAGATGAGCCTCAGTTTCTCCTGCGGTATGTCACTGCTGGCTGTAGTGTTGGAGTAGTGAAGGACCCGTGCTTGTGTGTGTGTTTTAGTGGCAAACCCTATATGACCCTTAACCCCTTTAAAGACATCATCAAATCTGAGGACATCAGAGCTGCTTATTGACCATGAATGGGAGTCAGATGGGTGGGAAATCATTTGAACGAAGTCCAATCATACTGGGGGCTGCACAATTAGTCAAAGTATTATCAAAATCACAATATGCACTAATAAGTAAAAATATCCTAATCACAGACAGAATTGTTTTGTAAAAGGTAGAATTTGTGACAAAACAGCACTATAATGAAATACTGTAGTTCTGAAGAGATTCCCTGAAATACAAATGATCACATCATCATGGTTTTAATAGTTTTTTCAGTGAAAATGAACAAAATGATCATTCCCACACTAACTGTAAATCATATTTCAATCTCAGTATAAGATAATCGCAATATATTTTTTTATTTATCATGCAGCCTTACTACATACATATTTCCATTCATGGACCACTAAAATAACAATACTTGATCTGTTGGTACAAACACAAGTTTATCTGTTAACTGTGTTATTTTGATTGCTTAGTAAATATTAGAACATATGGTATCAATATTAAGAAATACTCTGATTTATTTAGTCACTGGTTGGTTAGTTCCTTTGTAGTTAGCTAGTCAGTTCATGCTTATAAATTGTAGTCAGTTTTAGGCGCCTGTTATTCTGATACTCAATAAAGTGTAAAGTGTTTATTTATCAAGGATAATGCTCATTAATTGACATCATTAAAATGTAAATGTTACAGATTCAGCCAAAAAGCTAATTTTGAAGTAAAGGTTGAAGTTAAACGCTAAGGACAAAAAGCAGGCAAACAACATGAAAAGCACTTATAGGATTAAGCATTTTAAAAAACAACCTTATTTAAATGTAAAAGCAAGCAAGTGTATGACAGACAGCAACAGTAACCAAACATTACAAAAGAGCACTAAATATCAGGACTCTATAGTTCTCTTTACTCTTATATTGAAAGTCAGTAAGCTGGGAAAAGTAATCTGACATCAGTACATCAATGCGCTTGTTGTCAGAGTCACCTGGGACCATGCTATTTCATTAGCTGTGAACTGGAACCAAACACCATAATGTGTGTGAGAGAGCATGTGTTTCATGGGAAAAGCAGCAGAGACCCCTGTGGAAAGTGCTTCTGTGAAAGGAAGAGCAGGAACGTCCAGCTGATAACCAGAGAGCCACCACCTCCATCAGGTCATGTCCTCCACCTCCACTTCCCGCTCAGCTCCCGCATCCACTGTTTTCAGTAATTCCCATCACTTTAAATGACAGCATTTTAAATGAGCGATCCTTAAAGCTACGCTACGTGTTTGTATGACCATTGGATAGAATGAGTGCGTGTAATTGGTCGCTCACAGTGACAAAACCACAGAGGATTATCACAAACACTGTAGTTCTACATAGCATCATTTAGCTCATTGTGTTGGTTTTACAGCACATTGAATGTTTGGTTCAGTCTCATCAACCTTGTTACCAGCTGCAGGATGTTTGCAGCAAACAAGCTCTGATGAATAGCCTGGCATTTTCTAATTTGCAAATGAGTTTGGAACCTCTCAGTTGATGTTTGATTTCCATGGGGTCCATTATCAACAGAACAAAATGCCACTGGATGGAACTGGATAGATCTACAACCAATCAGAGCAATGAAACGCTGTAGCGTTGAGCGACACAAGCACTACCTAGTCTGACAGTTTGACCTGAGTTTTGTGAGCCTGTGTGTTGCCCTTGACCGACCTGCAGACTGGATGCAATTTGATAGACCTACAATCAATCGGAGCAGTGAAACATGTGACGTGTGACTTTTCAAATCTGGACCGGTGACGCTCCTCCTGTCAATGATTGTGTAAAACCCGCCCCATATTAAATAAACAGTTGCGGTTGGTCCGACTGGATCGAGAATGCGTGGAATCCAGTCTGAATGGAAGGGTGGCCGGATTCATCTGTTAGAGCGAATCAAACATTATGAGCTTGGCAGTTTTGTCTCGTTCCCAGGCTATCTGATAAACCCACTGTACACTGCCTGTCCGGCACCAGTTTGAGACCAGCTGGTGAACATAGTGGAACATTTAACAGCTTAAGAACCAGATATTTCCGTGGAGACCAAACCAGAGTTAAAAGGACAGTGAGTAACTGACAAACATGACTACAAGTTAATGCCTCTTTGTCTGCTAAATAGGCAACTGTTTACTGGCATATTCATCATAACAACTTTATAACTTTAAAAATATACAAACATTAAAAACATCCATCAATGCAGCATAAAAGGTTTGGTCAGTGATTCTGGAAAAATCCAGTACCATGACAAATAACTTGATATAGTGCAAACAACGATGCAGCAGGCAATTGTGGGTTAGCAGACTGTTGCTAAAGTTACCCAGCTACCATGCAAAGAGGACGAGACGGTTCCAGCTCCAGACAGCTCACAACTCTCCTGCTACTATAGCCAACATCACAACAACAGCCTATCTTTGGCAAACTAGACAGTAAGCTTAAAGTGGTTGAGTAACTTATCTCTACCTGACTCTGGAATGGCTGGAATAGTATTGTGTGACTTGGACAGCTACGAACCGCAAGGAGATATTCGCTGAGTTTGACAAAAAAGTGTATTGGATTAGAATCACTAAAATCACATACCCCACGTTTTCCTGACAATAGTCCTCTTGTGGTTGTGTGAATAATGACTGTCCTGATGCAAGTAGCATGACAATG